ATGTAAACTCACATGTATGTTTTCCATGGCCAACACTAAACTGAGATTTGCGATTTAAGATTTTGAATTAAATTGCAACCATATATAGCGATAAATTAATTAAGCTCAATAAATTTGCATTCCTGTAAAAGATCAATTTGGTTGAAATTTAATTAAACCCAATTAAGTTGCAACTCGGGGTTGCGTTTTGATTGATTTTAATAACACCCTAACAATGGTAACTTGATTTGCAAACTTGGATATAACTAAATTTTTGATCGAACACAAATAACGAAATTATAGAAAAATTTAGGCGGGAAACAGTATCGTAGTGTTCATGGGAGTTAAGAATACTACTATATATAATGTAATGAAGATGTACGTAAATGTTAATTTTTTTTTCTAATACTGCTTAATGTCCGTCGATTACATTGGACTATAAATTATTGTGACCTGAAAACGCTGTTCTTGTGCAGTATACATTTGAGAATTCAATGAATGAGTAATCAATGAATGAGTGTTCAATGTAAACAATGCAGTTCTCTAATACGAATGTGCACTGATTGTTTTTGGTACGTACAATAACACACACTGCACATGCGTAGTTGTGATTTTGATTTTTCTTCTATTAGTAACGAATACTGTTGTTTGTCTTGCAAACGCAACATTTTTTGTTTATAAAAAATCATAATCCGACTTTCTCCACAGTATGGAGTTTTATCGAACATATTGAAAAGATATATATTCGTCCATAACGGTATATCCATTAACGACATCGTGTCATTGTCATTTCAGATAGACCGGGCCTAAAAGATCCAGAAAAAGTTGAAGAATTGCAGAGCAAAATACTTGAGTGTCTTTGTAGAGAAGTTACCCGGAGAGACTGGAAGAATAAACATATTCTCGCCAAAGTACTGATGTGTGTAACCAAATTGCGTAATATGTCTGCGCTGTACTACCAGGCAATGTACAACTTTCGCAGTCAATGGACGTTTGTCAATATCCCTCCGCTGCTTGCAGAAATGCTCGATTACGAAACATAGATGAGATCACCGTCCGCTGGTCATCAAATAAAAGCCAAGTATACTTACTGTATTGTTTAGTATTGTAGTGGGTGATATTTGTATTTCTTTTTTATTTAATTTCATATTATATTTATTGTTATTTTTGTTTATTTGTGTGTATTTTATTTTCGTTACTTGCTGTTATTCGTTTTTTTTCGACCGCCTTAACTATGACCGCTGATTAGTTAATGAATTTGTATCGGGTGATTTTATTTATTTATTTATATTTTCGTGTCATATTTCATGTGTTGTTGTGAAATGTTTGCATTTTAACAATATTTATGCAATTCCCTATGTGTAATTATTATTAATGTACCATTCTTTGATATGTTTGATATTATTTCTCATTTTGTTACTTTGAATTTCTATATTGTGTTATTGTTTTGATGAGACATATTTGTATTATTTTGCAAAGTGTACGTCTTTGTTATTTTGTTGTTGACATTCAGCATGTTTTGTGATATATTTGTTTTATTTCGCAATGTTTAGGTAATTCTTGGTGGCAATTGTCTGATTGCGTGTTTTTTATTAATTTAATACAATTTTAACAATTTAAAAATCTTCTAACATATTTATGGGTTGTCCGTGACATTTGTGTATCGTTTAACAATTTTTCTAACATGTTTATGTTATGTCTATGATAAGTGTGTATTATTATTTATGTTATTTTTGTGCCATTTACATGGTTTATACATGGGTTACGTCATATTTGTATTATTCGGCATTATGTGTACTTCTGTTGCTGGCGGTTGTTTTTATTGTAAAATTGTTATGACATGTTTTATTTAGTTGTTCTTGGTGGCCAAAATATGATTATGTTATTTTTATTAAATTATTCTTACATTTTCTCTATACGTTATGTGCATGATATGTGTGAGTATTTGTGTAAATTTGATGATAAGTATTATTTGACAAAGTGTATTATTTTCTTTGGTTATGATTATGTTAATATTTCATTATCGCCATGTTTATTACATTTTTGTGTTATTTGGTAATGTTCATGTCATTCAGATTTGTGTTAATCCTAGTGTTAATTTTACGGCATGGTTATTTTGGATGTATATGTTCGTGGTTATGTCATGAATTTGTTTTCGCGTATCTGTTGGTCGACTTGATTAACTGATTATTAGCGAATTGCTGTGTTATGTCTGTCATCGTGTAGGCCTATTTGAAGTTTTGGACGGAACTTGGCTCAGTGATTTGGAACTAATTACCAGATAGCCGCCGCTTTTTAGACTACTCATTCTGACAGTTGGTATCCGTAGTTATTAATGTAGTGAACGATTAATCAAAAGATATGACGTATTCAGTACTTAGTGTGATTGGCTTTATGATTGAAGGTTACGCCCTAGAGTCTTTTTACTGTTTTGTAATTGGTTAGAGTTTTGAAAATGAATAAAGAGAGTTTGAGTTGGTCTTGGGGAATACTCCACGTTAGACGCAGCCTTGGGCAGTCGAGTCCAGTCCGAGAGAGTCCAGGGGCGAGCCTTGAGGCAGTCCAGTCTTGGGCTAGTCTTGGGGACTTTTCCCCAGGGCGCTGTGTCTTATAGAGTGCTCCAAATGATCGACTAAGACGAGAGCTGAAACGTATTTCGTTGTGTGTGTCTTATTTGACAGTAAAGTATAAGTGACTTTCCCGATCCCGTACCTCAAGGGGACGAGATAGAGAGACGAGACGAGTTTCCCCCCTGACAAGTGTGGAGAACCCGAGAGAAGAGAATTATCCCCCTGATAGTTATTTGTAAAGCGCCTACGGTCATTTAGAACATTCTCAAACGGAAAGTGTGGCAAATCGAGTCACATAAGAAATTCCAAATTCTGTTCTATTCAAAAGTTAGAATTAAACATTCCGGAAATCCAAATCATTTTTCTCTATGCCTATCGGTATATTTCCTGGGCTGGTGGACAGGCCGAAGTACCTGATGCAATATGGACATTTATTTTGTTTTGTGTTGCGTGGATTTATCTGCCCTGCAATATAATACTTATAAATATAGTTTAGGACTTATTGTTTTATTATCTAAATAAGACCCGGGAGTGTTGTCATAATTGGACTAGTCGTGTTTTACTTTTTTTTCTATAGACACTCGTGTATCATATCACAGGGAGCCCAGGAACTATAATCAATTGTACGCACTCCCTATGAGCGCGGGGGGGGGGGGGGTATCGGCTGGTATCTAGTGTAAGAAATAGACAATGGATGAAGGCTCCAACCAGTTCATATTTTTTAAACTGGAAAAAAACAGACGAACAGAATGAAAAATAAAATCTATAATGTATTTCTTTGTGTCGAATCTTCTTTCTCTACTTGAAAGTATTATCAGCCAAGCGAGTGATAGTTCCTGAACACAACACTATTGTTCATAACATTATTGTGATAACTACTTATATATTTATTTTTTTCCGGTCATAATAACAACTGCAACTGTCATTGTCTATGTGTCTGAATATATATAATCACTTAATATTACATGATTGCATAACTAAAAGAAATGCTGTTGATATTCTATTTATTACATATTATGCCCATTGTAACAGTTAAAAAACGATCCTATCGATGAAAGTATGACGTAGTTTAGGCGCTGGTTGTTTTCACAAATAACGTGGTGACCGGTTACAGCCGTGGCCACGAGCGACAACTGTAAGACAAAAGCTACCGTAGGAGGCTCTGCCCTTAGAGCTTCTTTGTACATCACATTTTCATCTGTGTACAACCCTAACCAAAACAAACAATCAACAGATTGTCGTGCTTATGGGTTTAATCATACACGAATTATTTCAAAAGAAAATCAGCCATTATGATAAATACATATCAAACATTGTGCACCGAGAAATGAGCTAGCTCTAAACTAGCACAGTACTGATTAAAATTGTTATGCA